GGTTAATACTGGCCAACCAGTTTTACAAATGGAGTATTCCATGTTAAATGGGCTTCATGTATGCAAGACTTGCATGATGCTAGATATCGCATATGCGATAGAACAATTAAGTCGGTACATGATGAATCATAGTGCTCATCATTTGAAATGAAGTGAGACGTGTACTAAGATATCTCAAAGGCACATTGCATTGAGTTATAGTTGCTTTCCATCCATTTTTGGAAGGATTTGTTGGTGTTAGTTGGATTTCTCATGTTGAAGGTGATACTTCAACATTGAGATGCGTCCTCTTGCTTGGGGGAGGTGTCATATTTTGAGCCTCTAAAAAGCAAACTTGCATCACTAGTTCCATTATGGAATCGAAGTTTGTGGCCTTGATTTCTCTTAGAGAAAAAACATTATTGCTGAGATGCTTGGTTTATGACATTAATTTATGGCCTTGATTTCTCTGTGAACTGATCATTCATAGAGTTGTGTCTAGACAATATGACCATACTTGAGATAATTTGGTTGATCATTTGACGAAATGTTTAACTAGTGACTTGGTGATAAAGTCTGTGAAAGGGATGGGTTTAAAGTCCATATAATTTATGATCATGGGATACCCAATTCCCTCTAATACAACTTTAGTTGCTGAATTCAATGTGGAAAGCTCATTCTCAGAAATTGAAGCACACAATTTGTCATCCCGAGGTATGTGTTTGTTATCCTGCATGAGAGAAGAGGATGAAGTTAAAAACTTCTTAATTGAATCTTTGACAAAGTGTATTATGCGGGTACACGAATAAAAATTCGACCTACGTAAGCATGAAGTGTAGCCGTTCAAGAAACCCGGACTTTGGTTTCGTGTGCGCTTATGAGAAGGATTGGACACATGGCGGTTAATAGTGTCAAGGCACTTAGAAGTTTGAAAACTTAAGTGTATATTATCTTCGAATATTCATATAAGTCAATGGGTTCAATCGTTAACGACACCCTTTGCATTCGAGTATTTGTCAAGCGTAATATACTAAGATGAAAATTCAATCGTCACGACATTTTCATTTATGCTTAAGTTTTGTTGGAAGAATGTTGTGATTTTAGTGAATTCTATGAATACACTAAAATGGGGGAGGAATGTTGGATATTTGGTTGAACATGACTAACCAAGTCAAATCGGTTTTGGGTTGGACCAACCAACCAGTTTGAGATTAGGCCGACCGAACTGATATTCTAATTCTGTGAAAGGACACATCCCTTTGACCTAGTGACGGTTGCATTATTTTATGGATAAGGATAACCTTATGGATAAGGATAACCTTATGGATAAGGATAACCTTATGGATAAGGATAACCTTATGGATAAATGCAACCCTTCATATGGATAAGGACAACATTTCATATGGATAGTGACAACCTTTCATATGGATAAAGGCAACCTTTCGTATGGATAAAGGCAACCTTTCATGAAACAATGCATAGATTCGGCCCTTATAAATATATGTGTGGGGTGGATGATGCCACATACCATCAAACATATTATTCTTCTTTTTTTTTTCCAAAAATTTCTAAGTATGTTTTAGTGTTCCTGAGCCTAGAACCTAAAGTGGTGATAGTTTTATCCTCGGGAGAAATTTCCTATAACCAAAGGCTTTGTAGAGGGTGGAAATATTCTTTTCGGAAAGTGAACGTTGTTCACGACTCTATCACAATCCTAGTCACCCGTTCTCGAGCTATCGTACGTGTACCATCGTCCCAAAAGTCCCAACAAAGAATGAGGAAGATCGGAATTAGACTCAATTTTATTGGGATATGAATGTGTAGTACTTAGACTCAATTTTCCCTCCTTTCCATTATATTTTCTTGTTAGTATGATCGTTAGAAAGCCCGAAAAAAGCGTTGAAACAATTAAAAAACAGACGTATTAGGGATTGTTGATGTTTCCCTAACTAAGTAGTCAATCATTCCATTAGTCTCCATTCTATTGGGATGGTACTGTTAGTAAATGGTATATGATTTACGATTGAACATTTCCCAACAAATCGAGTTATTGGGACCAACTGGATTTTGATATGATATCAGAGCTTTCTATAACCGAGAGATTTTCTGTTCAAATTCCGACAACCCCCATCTGTTTCTATATATAGATTGCCAATCACATACTTTCTAAACTAATAATCAACATTCACAATATCCACAAAGTGAATGGTAAATCACATGTTTTTTACTCTACCACGAAAAATTCTCGGATTTTCATTTCTAATCCATCAAAAGAGCAAACGTTTGTCTTTTTTTTTTTCCATTGTAACTAGTCCGGTAAATGTCATTCAAAAGGCCAATACTATGGTGCCGCCATTAACAGTGCAACACCTGTGTGTTGCAACGCTATTTCTTATTAGTCCAGGTAGGGCGTGATGTGGCAACTAGGTGCATTAAAATCCAATACAAAACAAATCGGCCCAAAACCACTATTCACCCAAGTGACGGAGAGCCCTTCTTTCCATCTATGGATTCATTTATGTTTTATTTTTTCTAGTAACTAGTTTAAAACTCATTTTATGTTGCATTATCCAGCAAAAGAATAAACCCAGAACATAAGCAATTTTTGTCTTCCTCTCTTTCCTGCTTTGGCGGACTTTCAATAACAGTCCGACAAACTTCTCTTTCGCTGATCCGTTCTCTAGTCTCGATCATACTCATTCACTGATTTCCTTCACCGTCTTCCTCCTCAACTTGCATCTTTCACCCTTCGAATTCCAAACTATAAATTCATGATTTGTCGTAACAGCTAATGGGCCACTTCCGAGGCCACATGCAACCGGAATTCGGAACACCTCATCGGTGATTATCAACAATGGCACTTCTACCGCCCAACATAACAATCGAGGTTGGTAGAACTTGTCGGTCCCTACCAAGCCCCTTCTTTGTTATCACGCCTTCCCCATTCGGTCCCAACAGACAAATGCGAGCAGCATAGTGAGCTTGTGGGCTTTGTTTCTAAATTTATAATTTGAGGGGTGATTCACTTTGTTTTTTAATTTTGCTCATAATATTGTCTCTTTAATCATATTTCATTGACCCATCTTGGGATGAAATCACAGTTTTCTCCCGTGATTTTGAAATCCCACTAGCGAGGGAGAGCAAGGAAGATGACGAGGTGCTTTTGAGTCTCATTTTTCTCTTTCCTGTTTCTGTAGAATAACAAATAACTGTGAACGAAATTAATGAGATTTTCGATTGCGGAATTAAAGTAACAGATCTGATGTTGCCATTCAATTGTGTGATTGGGTCAGTTTCATGATCACTAGGCTTGGGTTGGATGTAATCCACTCTATTAGTGCCGCATCACCGTCTATGTGGACCAATTAGAAACAACAATACCAGTGCTGCACTTTTAATAGCCACAATACCGGTGCTGCACTTCTAACGGAATGTTGAATCGATGCCATCTCACCTTCCACATAAGCCAAAAAGCAACCAAACTTTACACGTAGATGCCAAATAAGCTAGTCGAATAAAGGCATAATAAAGCTGTATATCCACAACTATCAGGTTTGTGACAAAAATATCCACAACTATCAGGTTTGTGACAAATATATCCACAACTATCGAAATACACGAAATATCCATTTCCGTCCACTCCGTTAACTCCATAAGTTAACTTGATGATTGGACTGGCGGTGAATGCTTAGTTGGCATGTTTCTGACCCCACTGAATGACGTGGATTAAAAGATAATTTTTTAAAAAAACCCTAAAAACCACAGACGGCGAGACTAAAAATCCAACTCAGAAACACGCCCGATAACCACTGATCCTCCTCCGATTGACGCCTCCACCCCCAAATAACCCTACCACAATCCCCAACCGTTGCCTCCCTTTTACTCCGACGACTTCCATCCAGTCGGCGCCATGGTGATACCAAGCTTGAATCTCAAACAAAAAAAAGCTTGAATCTAACTAAATCGCAAACAGAGAAGACTGCAGCAGCGAGGTCTAACAGATAACGGTGTAAAGTTTGGTTGCTTTTTGGCTTATGTGGCAGGTGAGATGACATCGATTCAGCATTCCGTTAGTCAATTTAACTCCGTCTGACACGCCATTTTAGTTTCAGACGAAAGTGGATAAATTTGTCACACAACCTTCTGATTTTTGGATATTTCGTGTATTTCGATAGTTGTGGATATATTTGTCACAAATCTGATAGTTGTGGATATACAACTGTATTTTGCCTAATTTTTTTTTCTCTTTGAATCCACGTCATTTAGTGGGATCATAAACACGCCAACTAAGCATCCACCGTCTGTCTTGTCATCAAGTTAACTGACGGAGTTAACGGAGTGGACGAAAAATGATATTTCGTGTATTTGATAGTTTTGGATATATTTGTCACAAACCCGATAGTTGTGGATATACAGCTGTATTTTGCCTATTTTTTAATTAGGAACTCTTCAATTGATATATGTATAAGATATAGAATTTTAATTAGGAACTCTTCAATTGATATATGTATAAGATATAGAATTCTCAATTTATACTCTAGAATTAATTTTCATATGTATTATGAAGTTGTTCTTATTTTATTTGAAAAACTTATATGTCACCGATTTTATGATCAATTTTGTACCGGTTAAGTACCGATTATCCGATAAATCTTAAAAACTCTCGCTAATTCGAATCGTTTCCTGGTCCGGCTTTGACAACACTGCTTTTTTGTTACGGACAGAAAATAATCAAATAGATGGAGTTGCGGTTAATTTGAACCGGAAATTATGGAAACTGACGGTATTAATTATTTGTTAGTTAGGGAAAAGTTAAGTATCAAATTTGTTGAAACATAGACGTTAGGGACCTGTTTATTAGCATCTCTAACATAAGGGGCTATTTGTGTAATTGAGACGCTCTGTTGACCAAGAAGACAATTCAGAATCGGGAAATCATTTTCATTTTGGATTCAACAAGCTACCGGCTCTCTCACTCTAATCTCTGTTGCTCTGTCAAGCACCTATCTCCACCGGCAAAGATGAAGATTATGGTGGCCGTGAAACGAGTGATCGACTATGCCGTCAAAATAAGAGTGAAGGCCGACAAGGTAAAAACTAAAAACCCCTCTTGAACTGCCGCCGTTTCATCAGTGAACAAGATCGAGATTCCCCATGTGATGCCTTTTTCTCCGCACCGATGAATTTCATGCTTTCTAGAGCGGAGTGGAGACTCAAAACGTCAAGATGTCGATGAACCCATTCTGCGAGATAGCTCTGGAAGAGGCTCTTCGAATCAAGGAAGCAGGATTGGCATCTGAAGTGGTCGCCGTCACTATGGGCCCCAAGCAATCCATCGATACGTTGCGGACGGGTCTGGCCATGGGCGCCGATAGAGGGATTCACGTGGAGGCCACTGGCGATTTGTTTCCTCTTGCTGTGGCTAAGCTTTTCAAAGCTCTTGTTGAGATAGAGAAGCCCGGTCTGATTATTCTAGGAAAACAGGTTGGTTCTGTTTTGAAGGGTTTTCTTATCTGGGTTTTCTCATTAATGGAGGAAAGTAAATTTTTAGCTTCAATTATTTATGTGCGATTGCTGTAGGCCATTGATAATGATTGCAATCAAACTGGGCAAATGGTGGCAGGACTTCTAGGGTGGCCTCAGGGGACATTTGCTTCCAAGGTTAGTGGTGGACTTAACCGTCCAATTGTTCTTCTCAAGCTAGTTCGTTCACAATTTCTTTTAGAAGGAAAATTGTTGATCCCGCAGCTCATAGGCAAAGAAGGAAGCAGAACTGTGATTATGAAAGCTTTACCTACTGAATCACTTTCCTCAAAATTGTTATCCATGTTGCTTTGTCTTCTTGAACTATTGTTGTTGGTCAAGTATGTTTATCTTGCTCTAAATTTCGGTTATTGTACTGGTTGTGGTTTGTATTATGACTGAGTGCGAGTTAGATCCTGAATCTGAAATGTGGATTGTGATCTTGTAACACTAAGAAGTATGAAGCGTAGTTAACTGTTAGAATCATGAAGGATTTACGAGGCTACTAGCCACAATTAATTGCGAATTAGCTCGATTAAGGGGTAGATGATCAGCTGCAGTGGGTGTTTTATTATGAATTTTTGCATGATTGTAAGGGCTATTATGCTTTTTCTGCAATATCTCTTGTTCAGTATATTTTCTTACTAGTTATTGCTACTATCTAGTAGGTCGTGCTTGACAAGGAAAAACAGGAAGTAATGGTGGATCGAGAAGTTGATGGTGGTCTGGAAACTGTGTGTTTAAACTTACCAGCAGTTATCACGTAAGTACACGGTCCTTGTTTTCTTGTCCTTGTTTATTCAACTCCCATCGCTGTACTGTGATTTCGTGTTGGTCTATTTAGTCTTTTTTTTTTGGTCTCTCTGCTGTGTATGTTCGAGTGAAAGTGTAAAAAAGGTCTTTCTTAGAATTTCCATTCTGCTATTGCTAAAACCAAAACGCTTAGGTGTTTGCATTTGCAGAGAGTAACATAGTTAGCTAGGAAGAGGCATCATCTTTGTGTGTATTGATTTGACGGGATGAACATTTGCAGGACCTAGCATAGTTAGCTAGGAAGAGGCATCATCTTTGTATGTATCGATATGACGGGATGAAAGGCCAGTTCTATTTTCTGCCTAGTATGTATTTGTGGCTGCATTGAAGATAATTTACGTCCTAGCGGCATGTTCTTCCCCTTCCAATGTCATGTTTGTGTGGCTCAACTTTCACTTGGGGTCTTCTTCTGCAGCACCGATCTAAGACTGAACCAACCTAGGTATGCGACACTGCCCAACATTATGAAAGCAAAATCAAAGCCCGTCAAGAAATACACCCCGGAGGAGCTGAACGTTGCTATGAAGTCCGATCTAGAGGTTGTTGAAGTCACAGAGCCGCCCAAGAGGAAAGCAGGGGTGCTAGTCTCTTCCGTGGACGAGTTGATTGACAAGCTTAAAAATGAAGCTCATGTCATCTAATGTCGATTGTAATTTACTTTCTGAGTGAGCACAATCCAATTGTCCTACAAGTCTAAAACAGGGGTTTCATGTGATCTCTGGGAAAAAAAAAAGAAGCTTTGTTACCTACCTGACCCCATTTTCAGGTTGAATAAACTTTAGAAGATATGTTCATCTGTAGTGGATAGTGGGGAGTTTGTGTGGTTTTGGTCGGTTGGTGGATCTTTGTTCAGGAGATGAGGAGTAGGTAAACAAAGATATTACTTGAGAGCACTTCTACTATGCTATATAACATTGGTGCTTTAATGTACAACTCAAAGTTGTACCATAACATTAAATGTATAAGTTTAGGTTGTACCATAAAGCAATTTGTACCATTATGTTATGGTACAACTTTACATTTTGAAATTGTACCATCACATAAAGGTACAAGTTCAAGTTGTACCATAAAAAAATTTGTACAAAAAGTATAGGTACAATCTGTAGTTGTACCATAACGTAAATGTACAATTTTAAATTGTACCACAAAAGCAAAAACCTATAGCACCAATACTATATAGCATTGTAAAATTTCTCATTACTTGGTTAATGACAAATAAAGATATCACTAGGTTGTAACCTTCAAATTCTATACACATTTGCATCCCAAGCATGTTTAGGTTCTAATCATGTGTACTTAAGCTGTCATCTTTTGCCAGGGGCGGAGCCAGGATTTCGAGATCGGGTGGGCCGAAAATAATTACATATAAATAAAACTAAAATAATTATTTTAAAAGTAAACACGTTCTTTGAGATCATTGTTCAAAATAGCATCTAAACTAAAAATTTTACCTATCTTTCATTTAATATAAATAACTAAATCATTAACAAGAAACTCATCATTTTAATTCCTTTGACAATCATATCTCTGTTAATCCCTGGATCATATAGTTTCTATAAAGGAGAATGATCATAATTTTAATTTCTTTGAGATAATTGTTCAAAATAGCATCTAAACTAAAAATTTTACCTATCTTTCATTTAATATAAATAACTAAATCATTAACAAGAAACTCATCATTTTAATTCCTTTGACAATCATATCTCTGTTAATCCCTGGATCATATAGTTTCTATAAAGGAGAATGATCATAATTTTAATTAGAAAATTAAATAAAGGTTGACTTTTTCGTATGAAGTTGGATTAAAGTAATAAAAGAAAAAAAAAAGAAGTGGCTAAAGCAAAATGTAAGTTAGTTGTGGATTGAACCTCTGTGCTTCTCAATAAAAATCAAGCTTATCTACCAATAAACTACATCACTATTACATGATACAATATACAGCCGAGTTTTACTTATGCAAATTTTATCTGAATATCTTTAGAGACATAGGGGCCGAGACTAATTCCGGAACTCTATGTAGCTCCGCCCCTGTCTTTTGCCATTTTTGGAAGGTGGGAATCTTCCCTTCATGGGAAGGCAACAGATTTGGTTTGGGATAGAGTCAGTAACCATTAAATGCACGCACACCGTAAATCTAGTGGGCGAATCCATCATGTGGCTGGGCTGAATGCGGGGTCCAGAAGGGCATTTTTTTCCGTTTATAAATTTTAATTTTTATTATATTCTAATTTTAATGATTGCCTTTTCAAAAAAGGAGACCACTTTTAATGATTGTCTTTTCAAAGGAGGAGAGATAATCATTTCTCTGCAACTCTCTTTTCTCTTTCTCCCTTCCTTCTCTCTTTCCTTTTCTCTCACAATCACCTTTTCTGATCTTTTCTCTTTCTCTATTCTTTTTCTCTCCAATCTCTTTCTCCATATCTAGATCTGCTTTCTTCTCTTCTTTTTTGTTTTTTTTTTCAGCAATCGGCGAAGAAAAATTGCAGCCACCCACTTTTAGTGCTTTTTTCTCTTTATCAACTCGCTGGCCTCAATTTCGGTCTTTCTCCCTTTTTTGGCGTTTGGTGTTCTTGATTCCGGAGGAAATGAGGCGATATAGAAAATGAGTTTTTTTCCCCTCTCCCTCCTTCTGTTTTTTTTCTTTTAGGTAATATATATTGATATTAACATACTATACCATACGGTATTGTGTGGTAACGAAATATATATTGATATTACCACACTATACCATATGATATTGTGTGGTAACGAAATATATATTGATATTACCGCACTATACCATATGGTATTGTGTGGTAACGAAATATATATTGACATTACCACACTATACCATATGGTATTGGGGGGTAACGAAATATATATTGACATTACCACACTATACCATATGGTATTGGGTGGTAACGAAATATATATTGACATTACCACACTATACCATATGGTATTGGGTGGTAACGAAATATATATTGATATTACCACACTATACTATAGGGTATTGGGTAGTAACGAAATATATATTGATGTGGCAAATTTTTTTCATACCATATGGTATGCTCTTATTTAATACGAGTCAATACCATATGGTATATACTGGTAATAACTGAAAAAATTTTTTTGTGTCCAAAAAATATCAAAATGGATATCATTTTGAAGAGCACAATTAATCTGATCTAACTGTGCAAAAAAAAAAAGATCTTACTTAAAACGAGTGAGAAATCGTCCGTTAAAGATTAAGATAATGAAAATTAAAGGTTTTTCGAGGAAGAGAAGGAGACGCTGATATGGTCCGGTCAAAAGTCAGCGCCAACAATAAATAGGGGTAAGTGCAATTTTACCTTACTGCCCTTTCGCATTTTATTTAAATAAAAAGGGGACTGACACGTGGGGACAAGAGAATGGGTTACTGATGGATTACTAACCCATCAGTTACTGACCTGATCTGCTCCCAGCGAATTTGTCTTGATGTCTAGGCTCTTTCTTTTTAGTTGCTTGGTTGTGAAGTGGCTCAAGATATAACGAGTGGAGATGGGAGAAGTGAACTCTTTATTTAGAAATTAAGATCTAAGGGTGAACTATTTATTTAGAATTAAAGACCTTTTTATTTTTTCCTTGATTTTTTAATTAGCTCATATCTTCTTCGTTTTAACTCGGATTTCAATTTTTTTTTTGCACAGATGGAACGAGTTCATGGTGCTCTACAAAATGAGATACATTTTCAATATTTTTTTAGGGAAATTCTTTTTGGGCATCTCGGTACCAACTGCATACCCTATGATATCTTCTTCATTTATAATTCGTTTTTGAAAATTTTTACAAAGAAGGAACGAGTTCATCATGATCTATTGGATCCACAAATTTTTAGGTGAACACAATACATGACCAAATATACCCCACAATCCCACCCTGGTACGGGGTGGTATCTTGTGGTACACAACCTTAAAAGTCATAAATGACAGTTAATATACTCTTGCTATCATGTATTCAACCATCCTACACTCTTGGTTTGTTCATACCACTATGGTATGCTTTTCATACCATAGATATGCTTTTATTTCAATACTAGTCAATAGCATATGGTATAGATTTATAAAAAAATGGCTCAATATTTTCCAAAAAATATATCAAAGTGAATATCATTTTGAAGAGCACAATTAATCTAATCTAACAGTGAAAAATAATAATAATTAATTTTTGATTTAAAACGAGCGAGAAATCGCCCGTTAATGATTAAGGGGGGGGGGATTAAAGGCTTTTCAGGAGCGAGAAGTGATGCTGATGTAGCGGATTCTGATTTGGATATGAAATAAATTAATTTTAGCGGCAAATATGAACTTTTTAAGTAATTCTAGTGACCAAACTTGGCATTTAGCCATTTATTTATATATTTATATTTTGAAAAGAGGACACAAGTAATTTTGAATCCTCTCTTTGCCACTACATGTTGACTAGGTCAACATTAGAGATGTCAATGGGGCGGTTTTGAGGAGAGTTTGCTTAAACCATCTCCATCCTCATTTTTTATGGAAATCCGTGGGATTTTTATTACTCGGAACGTGCAGCTATATCATCAATCTCCAGCTGATTAATCAATTACAACTAAGGTCTATCTACCCATACAATACTCTCGTCCCACCGAGCCTTCATATGTGCTACAATGTGTGCTGCCTCATTCGCCTCTCGATGTACATGCCGCCATGTTCCACCTCCGAACTCCCTGAGCATGTTTCGTATATTGCGGCAAACTACCCCGATTTCAGTATGAATGGTCTTCGCCACCTCTACCTTCTGAGCAATCCCCAAACAATATATTTCAATAATGTAGTCTCCCACCTGTAAGTTCTTGGCCATTTGCAAACCAAACTCCATAGCCAAAGCCTCTCCCATTTCAATATCATAGGTGTCTCGAATCCTTTTTATGGCTACCCACAGAAAAGTACCTTGATCCCCACAAGCTACGACTCCCATTCCCATGCCTCCTTCCGCTGGGAAGCTCGAATCAACATTAATTTTCGTCTTGCTCGGGCAAGAACGCTGCCAACCTTGAGAAGTTGGTGCGGTAATCTGCACGTCCGACTTTACTTGGTGATCTTGGTAATCTTGTAAGAAGAATTTGGCTCTAGGAACTATCTTCGTTTCCTCCATCTTGTGGCCATTGAACATATGAGAATTCCTGTCCTTCCATATGGTCATGGAACCATCTCTATCCTCGTTTTCAAATATTTAAAGCCATACCCGTCCCATATCCATGTGGGCTAAGGTTTCGCAAACTCATCCCCATATCCATGTTTTTCGGGTACCCGTGGGTAATACCCTCCCGTACATCCAACATTATTATATCTAAAATTTTGCATATAAATTTTTATTTACAACACTAAGCGGACCTACTATATCATGAACTCAACAAATATACACAGTGGCGGATCCAGAAATTTTACATAGGATGTCCTCTTTTAAAAATTAAATTAATAATTAAATAAAAAATATCCGACTTGTACAAATTACAACAAAAGTACACTACGTGTTTCATATTTTGGAAAATTTATAAATTACTTTAGGTTTCTAACATTGCTCTACAAATCTCTCTCGATATTCCTTCTAGACAAAGAGAGTCCTTAACTGAGTTTAATCATCGCGTTAGAAAATA